ATTGTTTAGTTAATCCTTATCTTCATTATTGTATTATTGTCTAGGGATCTACGTACAAAACCAATCTTCGCCGTCTTGTCTCTTTGCAAAAGCGAATTATCACAATTATTTCTAAATCAACTTTCGATTCTCATTCAGACCCTATTTTCAAAGAATTAGAGCTACTAAAACTTTCCGATATTAGACAACTAGAATTGGGTAAATTTATGTTTTCTCTTAACCATTCTCTTTTGCCTTCAAAGTTCAACAATTATTTTTCTTTAAACAAACAAGTCCATAGCTATGCCACTAGATACGCGAACGATTTTCACCTTCCTTTTTGTGGAACAAACCTTCGTAAATTTTCTGTCAGTTTCCAAGGACCTACTTATTATAACTCTATAGAAAATGATATTAAAGAATCTAATCCTCTCCACTTATTCAAAACGAGATAGAAGAAAAAATTATATATGAATTATTAGTTACAAATCTTGTAGGAAATAGTTATCTTTCTTCACGTGTCTGATATTATTTTTATACTTATTGTTACATGTACCATACTTTATATTTTGTCAACTCAGTCTATATGTAATTAGTTAATTTATACTTACCTTCATTGTATTTTACTTTCGATCCTGGCCTTACTGTCACTGTTAACTGTATTTAATTTTACTCTGAGGGGGCCCAATGTCTATAAGCCTCAAGGTTTCTTTTTGGGCTTCCTCGCCACTTTCATTTGCTTTTGTGTAACTGTCTTGTTTTATGGTTATTTGTATTTTGTGGTAAATCAAATGAAGTTGCAAAGTTGTATATAAGAAGAAGAAGAAGAAGAAGAAGAAGAAGAAGAAGAAGAAGAAGAAGAAGAAGAAGAAGAAGAAGAAAAAGAAAAAGAACATTTATATAGCGCCTATCCAATAACAGATTAGGCACTTAACAAAGAGAAAAAATCAAAATTAAAAGTTAATTAAAATACATAAATTTAAATTTAAATTAAACACATATAAAATCAAATACATCTTCCTAATGACTAAGGTAAAAGTTCTTAAAAAGGTAGGTTTTAAGTTTTTGCTTAAAAAGACGTAGATTCTCGCATGAGCGTATGTCGTCAGGTAGTTTGTTCCAAATTTTGGGGGCTGAGACATAGAATGCTCTAGATCCATAGGTCTTAAGGTTTAATCTAACAGGATTCAGCAGGCTGAGCGTAGAGGATGACCGAAGCGATCTAGAAGGTAAGAAGAGGATGATAAGGTCTTGAATGTAGGTTGGAGATTGCTGATGCAGAGCTTTGAAGGTAAGTAGTAGAATCTTGAATTTAATTCGTCCAGAAACACGTATCCAGTGAAGATCGAGGAGGATGGGAGTGATGTGATCACACTTCCTAGACCATGTAATCAGTCTGGCAGCTGCATTCTGCATCGATTGAAGCTTTTTGATGACGTTTTTAGGGACATTATATAGTAGAGAATTGCATTGATCGAGTTTGGAAGTTACGAAGGCGTGAATAAGAATCTCAGTAGTTTGCGTTGATAAGAATTTCCTTATGCGCGAAATGGTGCGAAGATGATAAAAGGCAGATTTAAAAACATTGTTTACATGGGGAAGCATTGACATAGTGGTATCGAAGATAGCGCCAATGTTTCTTGCATGTGGAGAGGGCTAGATTATGTCAGTTCCAAAGCGAAGAGGCGGTAGGGATTGTTGTGGGTTATACTTCGAGAATAAGTAGTGAAGCTCGGTCTTGTCTTTTTTTTAGTTTTACAGCTGTAGTCTGTTGATGGACATCCACTTATCAATGTCGGACAGGTATTCCTTAATCTTAGTGATACTGTTGGTTAATGCCATGTCGTTGTTTGTAGAGAAAGAAATATAGAATTGAGTGTCATCGGCGTAAAAGTGAAATTGCATTTCGTGAAATCGTAGAATGTCGGCCAGTGGTGCTGTGTAGAGTACATACTGAATCGGTCCAAAGACAGAACATTGAGGTACACTGCACTTGAACTCGCGAGACTGCGATCTACACCCTTCGATTAACGCAAATTGCTAGCGATTAGTAAGGTAGGAGCGAAACCATTCAAGAGCTATGCCAGAGATAGAGTATTTAGATTGCAATCTTGTAAGGAGGATATCGTGATCCACAGTGTTGAAGGCAGCAGACAGATCTAAAAGTAGAAGCATAACACAGTGACGTTTATCAATAGCAACCAAAATGTCATTATGAACGCGCACAAGGACGGTTTCACAACTGTGGAAAGGTTTATAGGCAGATTGTAGCGGCTCATTTAGCTGGTTAGCTTTTAAATATTTTTGAAGACGTACTGCGACAACCTTTTGAATAATTTTTGAGATTACCTTGAGGTTTGAAATAAATCTGTAGTTTGCAAGAACTTCACGATCTAAGTTGGCTTTCTTAAGTAGTGGCCTGATAGAACAGCAGTTTTCAAAGAAGACGGAAAATGACCGGATTCCAGTGACAAGTTGAGAATCTTCAGGATAATTGGTAAAAGTAAATCGAAGTGCTGCTTTAGTAGGGTAACGGAAAGCGGTTCCAAAATACAGGATTTCATGATGATATTGTTAGCAATGTTCGACAGTTCGGTGTTGGATGGTGGTGCAAAATGTACAAGCTGACAGGTTAGTGATGAAGTATTTAGAGTTCTGAAGAAATCAGGAATTACAGGCCAGGGGTGTACCAAGATTACTTCTGATATTGCCGATTTTCTCCTCAAAAAAGTGGACGAATTTATTGGCGAGATCAACTGCAGAAGAGCTGGTAGGGAAAGGTTTATCTGCTTTCCTGTGAGGAAGGCGAGTAATTGTGCGAAACATGTTTTGCTGTCACTTTCAGCTGAATATATAAGGCTATAATAGTAATTATAGAGAAGAGGATCTGAATATCAGTACATAAACTGTCTGAATCAATGTTGCGTAGTTTACGAGTCATTACAGTGAGTTTCGCGTTACGTGGTTTCTTGATAGCCAGGCTGCAGTGAACTGCAAAGTGATCAGAAATGACAGGATCGTGAACTGATAAATTTGAGATAGATGTTTCACCTGATCTTGTGATAATAAGATCTAGAACATAATTCTGCTTGTGTGTTGGAGTACAAAGATTGAAGATATCCAGATTAAAACAATTTAAGAGATCCAGGAATTGACTTGCGGTGCTGTCAGAGGGATCATTAACATGGAAATTGAAATCTCCATTTAAGAGTAAATTTCCAGGAGAGGACACTAGGCGTTAGGGATAGTTGGGTGTGTCAGCCTTCGAGAATCAGGGTATGAATTTTGTTTTTTGATTTTTTTTTTTAGGTTATTCTTTAAAATGAAACTATTGTGTCTCTTTTAAGAGCTGGGATGACTGCAAAAACAGCACAAAACAGATAACCTGTTCCAACAGCCAGGACCGTTGTTTTAAAGCGAATCTAAAAGCAGTTGAGACTGGCTCAGGTGTGACAGGTGAAAGCTTTGGCAAAGGGTGTGACACTTCAACAGCATGTAGGGGTAGATCGATTTGCAGTTCTTCGAGCTCAGTGTAAATCACCAAATGCGAAATCGACTGCTGCAAAGTATTTCTGCTGCTGTATTTCTGCTGTACGAGGGGACACGTGACCAGCCGATGCCAGAGCCTTTTCCCGCCCCACCCATTTTTTTAAGGGAAAAGCACTGGGGACGTGGTTGAGGGATTACCGAGAATTCCCAGGATCAAGAAGGAAACCATTTTATTCTCAGGAATTCCCGAGAAGTTTTAGCCTGTTTCGGTTCGAATATAGTCCCGAGAATTCTCAGGAATGTTGGGGCAAATTAGCGCAAATTAAATTTTCCGGGAATTCCTCGGAATGATTCTCGGGAAATCTTCGGGAATCCCAGGATTTTCTTTGAGAAATTTCTCACGGGAAACAGGGGAGTACAGAAGCTACTTTGGGGCTTTTGGCCGAAAAAAAATTACTTCTTGACAGAGAAGATCCAAGCTAGAATTATATTGCACATGTTGCAGGTCAAAACTGTTAAATTCAGGTTAAAATTTTTAAACCTAAGTTGATTCGCAATTTCCTTTGTCTCCTAGCCCCAATTATTCATGAACAAGAACGCTCTTACAGCGGGGGTAAGTCTCGCTTGCTTGGAGATTAGATCGAGAAATGAGGAGGCGATTAATTCAACACGAAACAGGATTTACTCGCTAAAGGTTTCTTACTTCATACTTTATCGACGTAGATACTTTTTATTTGTTTCTGAATTGATTTAGTACGCGTGTTAGCGACGACCGGAAATACGCCTGCGTCGCAGGCTATACGCTTGTATAAACACACGAAAATTTCAGGGCCTCGATTCCAGAGAAATTACATCATCGCCAGACATCAAAAAAATGCTTTACACGGCGCGTCATTTACATCATCTTCGAAAATAAACCGCATGCTCATCACAAGACCCATTTGCCTACAATGAAAGTTTACAACACCCGACCATCGCAGTTTTGCTAATTATGATTCTTATTTTTTTTTGACCACTCAGTAGTGTTCACTTGTTCCAAAGTAATCAACAGCTTCAGGCGATAGAATTCGTGGACCGGCACGTCTCAGAAAAGCTCTAAATTTAATCTTTCCTAAGTTTCTGGCAAAACATGCGTGACTTCGATCACGCAACGATTCTTAGTCCCAGTTTCCACGGTCTCCACAAGGAACGCCTGGCACAATGACCCCCCTTTTGTGTCCTAAATACGTCGAAAAACGCGTTGCAGATTATGATGTCGCGCTGCTTACGTACTTACGTAAGCGAGACTAATTAGGACTAGTAGACAAAGGAAACTGAGAATCGACCTAGGCTAAAATTTTTAACTTGAATTTAATTTTGACCTGTAGCATACATATTATGTATATAATTCTCAGGTTCTCTTTCTATTATTTTATTTACTTGTCGTCGAGTAGAGAGGATATACAATCGACGACAAGGGAGGAAAAGGAGAGAGAATACACTGAATTCTGCAAAGCTGATCGTACCACGTAAAAATTAACTTTTGCAAGACATAAACATGACACCGATAGAACCCAGACAGAGCGGGTTTGAAGCCGTCGAAACGGCTGTTTCGCCATTTCTGCGGTTCATCAGCACGGCGTAACAACAGAGTAGATTCGCTGGAAAAAAAAATACCCACACACTAAAATGCCCTAATATTGGACCGTCAGCCATGTTCCTTTCGCATTTTCAGTCTATCTTTCTTTGTGTCGTTTGTCGTCAATTCATTTGTACTTATGTCACAGGTTTGAGGCCAAGTTGCTTGTCGGAATTTTACCTCAACAGGGCCTAGTTCCCGGGGGGGGGGGGACACTTGAGGGCAGTTTGGGTGTAGGTGAGCCGCCAAGGCCTTCAAACCGTGAACCTGTTTAAGACAAGAGACTGTTTTTCATGATCTTGTTTAAGACTGTAGCCCAAATGCCCTGTTAAGGAGATATTACAATACAATACAAAATGGGAAAAAATATATTTATTTAATTTGTTTTGGAATCACATACAAAATGATTTTGGTGAGATTACCGACCGAACAAAATTAGATTATTTTAAAAGAACTTCGTTTCACACGTTGACCGCACGCCGCCAAAATTCCCACCCTGTTTAAGGCTTCGGGTCTAAAAAGACACCCTGTTTAAGACGCTCAATAGTGAAATTATAAACCCAGTTTAAGACTCAAGACCCTGAAAACCATACCCTGTTCAGCGGCACACACTCGTATAAGCCAAGCAAGGGAGGAGCCCCCGGCGCCGGGGCCTAGTTAGCGGACAGGACTGATGAAAGTGCATATAATCAGCTGCAATACCTCCTGCTGTATTTTCTTTATTTTTGTACAACAAGAAGAATCATCACGTCAGATAAGTTGTTGTTAAAAAGTAGATACGTCACTTTTTCCATTGCATAAATTAGACATTGCCCTCTCTTTGGGAGGATAACTTCGTGCTTCCCTCTGTTTTACAATCGCCCTCATTACGATACAGCCGTGTGCTCAGTGGCCAGGTCTTTAACAATTGTCGAGGCTTGGGGGTGACTTTGTTCTTGTTACATACCTTTCTATTTTTCACGTGTAAGTGAATCATGATCATGGATTTGTTTGCAAAAAGTTGGAATAAGACTGTCGTCACGCTTTGTACTAGAAAAGCAGGAAGGTTTGTAACAAAACATAACAAGGTCAACTCCAGCTTCGTTTCTATTTCATGTCCAGGGCAATGAGCAAGCAATTGTATAATGGCCTACCGTTAACTGCCGGTTTTTAACACCCCCCACACTTATAAGTCTTCCCAGGTATAGACCCATCTATCCGCAAAAAATTTATAATGTATTAATACACGCGATTATAAGGCCCCCTTCAAATGTATTGACGGCGATTTAATGTGACGTTTTGAAACGTAATCACCAGTAAAAAGTATTTTGAGCAGCACTGCCAAAGGTTGTTTCGCAGCGCTTTTTCAATTCTGGTCGTAAGCCCCTCCTTTCGGCAGTTTACGATATAACGCACAGTGCCAAGCGAGAGAAATTTACCTTTCACTGCAGCTAACGACACAAGCAGAACTGAAGAAAATGAAACAGCACACGGACAAGCTTCGTTTCTAACAAACTAATCCTATCTTTGAACATATATCCTTTCATCCATTTATCAATAAGAATTTTTGACTGGCACGCAACTAAACTGTGTTAAATAATTCTTGGCATGAGGAATTCTTTGGAGTAAAGCTTAAATTTTTGGCATAATTGCAATCCTTGCTAGTTTCCTCGGCGTTACTCCCTTACTCTTTCTAGTAACACCCTTCAAGATTGGACCTGCTTTCTTCTCTAGATATGGACTTTCATCCATCTGGAAAACCTTTTGCGAAAATTGATAGCGGAGCTCCACGCGCGCGCGAAGCGCGCGCGTGGGCGGA